ATGATCGTCAAAAGCAAACAATCTTCCAGCCATGCCGACGACCTCTGGGAAATCTTCGCCATCATGCAAAAGTTCAACCTTCGGCTAAACCCGAAGAAGTGCACCTTCGGCGTCCAAGGGGGCAAATTCTTAGGCTACATGGTGAGCCGAAGGGGTATTGAGGCCAATCCCGAAAAGATCCAGGCCATCATCAACATGGAGCCCCCACGCAATGTAAAGGAAGTTCAACGGTTGATGGGCCGCCCTGCAGCCCTCAACCGCTTTCTATCTAAATCAGCGGAGAAGTCTCTACCCTTCTTCCTGATCATGAGGAAGACGGCTGGCTTTCAATGGACTCCAGAATGCCAGGGGGCTTTCGACGAGCTCAAACGATATCTATCTTCACCCCCTGTGCTCTCCAAACCAAAGGTAGGGGAAACCCTCTACCTCTACCTCGGGGTCAGCCCGGCGGCCATCAGCTCTGTGCTCATCCGGGAGGAAGACGGCATCCAACATGCCATCTTCTATGTAAGCAAGACCCTAAGGGAGGCCGAGCTCAGGTACTCTCATGTGGAAAAAACGGTGTTAGCCATCGTTTGGACCGTCAAGAAGTTGGGCCACTACTTTCAGGCCCACCCGGTTCAGGTCCTCACTCATCAATCCCTCGGCGCCCTCATGAGGAGCCCCACCAGCTCCTCCCGCATGGTGAAATGGGCTATCTTCTTGAGCCAGTACAACATTGACATCCGTCTGAGGCCTGCCATCAAGGGCCAAGCCCTGGCGGACTTTGTGACGGAGTGTACCGCAAGGGCAGCCACAGACGGGGAGCCCTCAGCTACCTCGGACGACTGGTGGACCCTCTACACCGACGGCTCCTCCGCAACCAAAGCATGCGGGGGAGGGGTAGTCCTCATTACTCCCGAGGGCTTCAGAGCCTACTATGCAATCCGCTTCTCCTTCGGAGTCTCCAACAACGAGGCCGAGTATGAGGCCCTCCTGTGTGGCCTTCGGCTGGCTGCCAACATGAAGGCTCGGCAGATCCATATCAAATGCGACTCCAAGTTGGTCGTTGGCCAAATCTCCGAGGAGTATGAGGCCAAGGAGGGAAGGATGAAACAATACAAGGAGGCGGCCAAGGAGTTGCTTAAGGTATTTGAGGCACACTCTCTCACTCAAATACCGAGGGCTCAGAACTCCGAGGCTGACATACTATCCAAACTCTCGGCTGACTCCCCCGAGCACATCTCCAAGATTGCTAAAATTGAGGAACTCAGTCTCTCAAGTATCCATGCAAGCCCCGTTATGAACATACAACAACGCCAAGAGGACTGGATCTCGGATATCATCACCTTCATCTCCACAGGGCAGCTACCCGAGAACGAGACCCGCGCTAAACTAGCAAAACTGAGGGCTCCTAGCTACACCATCGAAGACGGAAGGCTCTACAAACGGTCTTACAACGGCACGTTACTTCGGTGCCTTCATCAAGATGAAGCCGGGGTCGCAATGGAGGAGGTGCACAGTGGCACTTGCTCAGCTCACCAAGGACCCTTCTCCATGTCCCGAAGGCTCATTCTCCAGGGCTACTTCTGGCCAACCATGGCCAGGGATTGTGCTGACCTTGCCCGAAGGTGCACCGCATGCCAACATTTCCAGAAAGCCCCAGGCAGGCCAGCGGTCAACTATGCCCCCATCAGCACATCCGTCCCCTTTTCTCGATGGGGGATAGACCTTGTGTAACACCCCGGGGCCCCACACGGACCCGAGGTGTTACAGGTGGTATCAGAGCAACCCTGCGACAGTGTGCTGATCCGTTGGATATCGGGCGGGCACTTAGCAGGGGAAAAGATTCTGGGATATGATTGAGATTGGTTTATGGGCGCAACGAGGACGTTGCGTTCCTAAGTGGGGGTGATTGTAACACTTGAGATTTATTTTAAATGGATTAATAGTACTACTCATACCAACAGAGGTGCATCTCCTTTTAAGGGAGCTCATCACCCAAGAACTCCAAAGTTAAGCGTGCTTGCACGGGAGTAGTCTTGGGATGGGTGACCCCCTGGGAAGTTTCTCAGGGCGCGCACGAGTGAGGACAAAGTGCGCGGAAAAGGCTAGTGGCGGTTTGTGAGGACAGTACTAGAGGTCTAGAGTAACTACCTCGGGTCCGTGTGGGGCCCCGGGGTGTTACACCTTGTGGGCCCTCTGTCGAGGAGTACCTCCAACAACAGGTACATCATTGTGGCCATCGACTACTTTACCAAGTGGGTAGAGGCTGAGCCCCTCGCCAGTATCACAGAGGCGAAGTGCCGTCACTTCGTCCTCAAGAACATTCTCACAAGGTTTGGCGTCCCCCAGCAGATCATTTCCGACAACGCAACACAATTTGAGGCAGCCCCCTTCTGTGCCCTTCTGGAGGCATGGGGCATCAAACACACCTTCTCCTCCGTTGCCTACCCTCAAGGCAACGGGCAAGTAGAGAACGCCAACCGGACCTTGCTCGAGGGCCTCAAAAAGAAGCTGGAGGCCGAGGGCGGTGGCTGGGTAGAAGAACTCCACAACATCCTTTGGGCCTACCGCACCACCCCTCGACGAGCAACAGGTGAAACACCCTTCTCCCTCTGCTACGGTTTTGAAGCCAAAGCTCCTACGGAAGTCACCCTTCCCACCCGGAGGGTGATCCAATATGACCCTGAGGTCAACGACAGCAACATGGCCCTCGACCTCCACCTCCTTTCAGAACGCCGGGAGCAAGCCTTCATCCGGGAAGAAAACTACCGAAGGCAAGTCAAAGGCTACATCGACGCCAAGGTTCGCACCCGAGAATTCCAAGTGGGGGACTATGTCCTCCGGAGGAGGGAAGCCAGCCAACCGACCGAGGGAGGCAAAATGGCACCAAAGTTCGAAGGTCCCTACATCATAGCAGCCATCATCAAACCTGGGACTTACAAGCTCAAACGCCCCGACAGGAAAGAGGTCCCTAGACACTGGAATGTACATCACTTAGTTAAATTTTATCAATAATGTAAGAGCTGCCAAGCCCTCATAACTAGTGAATGTACTATCCTATGGCCCAAGGCCTCCAATTTTGAAGAATGAAGACACATTCAAGACACCAAGAACAACCGCAAAACACTTATGAGCGGCCAAGCCCTCATACCAACTATAGGCCCCAGGCCTCACCACGAGAAGAACCCCCTCCGGCACCAAGTGCCGAGGGCGGACACCATCAACACCTTCAACAACAGTGAAAACACCAAGTGTTTCAAACAAGACCCCTCGGTACCAAGTACCGAAGGTGGGGACTCCCATCACCGGCAACAGGAAACACCAAGTGTTTCATTTCAAGACCCTTTGGCACCCAGTGCCGGGGGTACACATCTCACCCATCAACGTCAAATAGAAGAAGAACACTAAGTGTTCCTACAGAAGACCCCTCGGTACCAAGTACCGGGGGGCTACATATCGAAACTAACACCAAGTGTTGTTTCTAAAAGCCGTACCCCACGAGGACGCATATACCGAAGGCGCCACCATCGGTGCCGGCGGCACGTAGTGCCCCCGGCCATTTGCAACTAGTGTGCAAATGAAAACCCTTCCTTGAAACGCTTTCCGCGTCACTACCCCCAGGGTATGACATGCATGAGAAATGCCCAGGATTCGATTTTCAAAAACAGAACGCTTTCCGCGTCATCACCCCAAGGGTATGACAGGTACGAGAAATGCCCAGGATTCGACTTCCAAACCGAAACGCTCCCCGCGCTACCACCCCAAGGGTGTGGCAGGCCACGGACTATGTCTAGCGCCGAGGGGACGACTTTCAAAAATGAGGCGCTTTCCGTGCCATCCCCCAAGGGGAGGCAGGTTACAGACCACCATATCTTATGCCCAGGAAACGACCCTCGATCCCCTCGGAACTCGGAAGGTTAACCCGAGGGAGGAGAGCCATTGGTGTATTCTGATGGTCTCCTGATAGGCCCAACCTTACCAAGAAACCAAGTTTCTTGATGCCTTCCCTTCACCACCAACCAAAAAAAAAACAGAGGGGGTGAAGGGGAGTAGACTCATCGAGAAATTAATGAGTACAACACTCCAACAAATCACAGCATATCGAGGGCTCCCTACGGGAACACCTCCGGTAACTGAAGGCTCCTATTTCCCGAGGGTTACTACTCAACAATACAAGGGATGAGTTAACTTCCAAAAAGTGTCGAGGGCACCTACCATCGGTCATCCATTGCTACCGAGGGGTCCTATCCTGTAAAAGGGGATGCAACTGACTAAGGCAGCTCAAGAACCCTTCAAATGAATGCCGAGGGCACCTATATCCCACCAGCATCCACTACAACATCAATGTCCTACAAATTTTCCATAAGTCCACACTCTTGGAAAATGACAACAGCCAGAGGCATCTATTACTAACCGAAGGCTACACAAGGAAGCAACACTTAGAAGATTTTTCTAAGTCCCAAAGATTGGATCCTCAACCTGATCATCAGATAACTAAGGACATGCGGTGGCCGAGGGCTACTTGACACCATGCATTTGGAAGTAAGGCTAAGTCCTAAGTATTTGGCCCCCGACCCAATATGCACACATCAGGAAGGAGGCTACCAGCCGAGGGCTTCCAAGGGCAAACTACACTTAGAAATTTTTCTAAGTGTTAATTATTGCTGAGCCCTCGGTTGTATATCCAGCGAAGGGTGCCCAACTACCGAAGGCTACAACTGTATTCAAACACTTAGAAGAATTCTATAAGTCCTAAGCACCTCACCTCCGGCCATCGCACGAAGGCTACACGGGACCAGAAGGGAAGATCAGCCGGGGGCCAACAGATGAACAAACACTTAGAAATATTCCCAAGTCCTGAACATTGTACCCTCGGCGAAAGGTCCAACTGACTAAAGATTTCTAATAGCCGAGGGCTACAAGGGGCAACATAATTGGAAGAAAATATTCTAAGTCCTAAACATACATTCAAAAAGGGCGAAGGCATACACTCAAGAAAACCGACGGCATACATTCGAGAGGAAATAAATTAAAGAAAGCAAGTCAAATACACAAGGCCCGAGGGCTAACATTCATCAATCATCAAAAAAGAGTAAATGTGATTGTTACAATGATGGCCGGGGCCGAAAGCATAAGAATGTGACCATTACAAAGTGTGTTCAAATTGCTAAGTACAAATTACAAATCAAACAACGTCATTCCCGGGGGCCGCCTCCTCCGATGGCTTCGAAGTGACCTCTGCATCGGCCTCAGGTTCGTCACCATCGGCTTCCTTCCGGAGCTCAGTATCCTCCAGGTCTGGCCTCTCGACATCGGAGGGGAGAGGAACACGGATGTCTGGCTGAAGGGGGGGAAGCCCGTATGCCGCCGGGTCGAAGTCCTTCGGCTCAATCTTCAACTGGCGAGCCATCCTCCGATAGATGAGGGCTTGGGTGAAAAACTCGCCCCCATCATAATATTGTTTGCCCTTTCGGGCCATCCATTCCTCTCCTGGGTCCTCGCACCACTCATCGACGGAGGCCTCCACAACCGAGGACAACCACTCCTTGTGTCCTTCGGCCTTCCACCCCCCATCCAGGAACCCGGAGATGGCCTCCTCCCGGGCTGTGACGACAGCTTTCGTTCTGGCGGCCTCGGCCTCCTCGGCGGCTTTCCTTGCGGCTTCCGCAGCAGCCTCCTCAGCTTTGGCTTTCTCCTCCCTAAGCCTTCCGGCCTCCGCTCTCGCAAGCTGGAGGTCCTCTTCAAGCTGGGCCATCATCTTCGTGGCCTTGGAGTCCTTGAGAATTAGCTCCTTCATCTTTGCGTCTTGCCCAACTTTGTGGAGGCGCCATTCCTCCAGTCGTCGGGCCTGCTCCCCGAGGGCAATGCAGGTCTGCAAAAATAGAGGAGTTAACAGGGCCGAACATGATTTCCTAGTTCGGAGAAAAGAAGAGAAAGGTAACTGTCATAGACTTACCGTGAGGGAAGACCGGAGGATCCTGTCCTCGAGGGATTGGTCATCATCGGCCCCGAGGGCTGCCCTGTCAATGTCGAGGGTTATACCTCTCAGAAGCGCCCTCGGGTCAGCCGTACCACTCAACACGGGCGTACCAGCCGGGAGGGAGAGCGTAAGGACCTCAAGAGATGGTTCCCGGACACCCCTCGGCACCTTTGCCACCGGCATCTCCTCGTGCACCCCGGAGGCGGGGCAGTCATCCACAATCACCACCGGGGGGTCCTTCTTCACAGCGTCCCCCTTCTTCGATTTCTTGGTGGCCTGGGGGGACTCCTTTGCCGTCGGTTTCCTCTTCGCGGCAGAAGCATCTCCCTCGGGCTTCTTGAAAAGCGCACCGACGGGCTTTTGGCCACCCGCGTCCGACCCCTTCGGATCCTTGGCCGGCTTGTTCTTGAATCAGCCAAGGCCTTTGACGTTCATCATATTCACTGGGATACCTGCAAAAACAATGTGGGGGTTAGAATCGAGGGGTCACTAACAAAGGGCATAAAGAATAAAACGAACAAGCAAATGAACTATGTGCTAAGATATGAAGGTGAGAGTGCCCTCAGCCACTACCTCCGGAGGCTCCCTCGAACACCGAGAACTTCTCATATGTTTCCCCCAGGAAGCGATACCGCCGGAACCCGAGGGTGTAGAGATCTCCCTCCTTGGTGCACTCCTTAATGGTGATGTTCTTGTCCCGGCCCTCCGGGATCATGGCCAGAATCCTGCCGTCTTTCTCGAGGGCGGCGCTCCTCCTCTTCTCGTGCCTCCTGAAACGGTCGCGCAACTCCCTCGGGAAGGGGCTCTCGGTCAGCTTCACGTAGCACCACCGGTCCTTCCACCCTTTGTTCGAGGAGGGCGCCTCAGTGAAGAGCTTGAACATGGCCACCTGCTGCAAGTTTGCGAAGCCCTCGGCATTCGCATGCCCCCCGGCACAGATTGAAGCTCTGGAAGAAAAGGTCCAGGCTAGGCGTCACCCCCCGGGATTTGCAGAGCTGGAGGAAGCCAGTAATGTAAGAATGGCTGTTCGGGGTCAGCTGGCAGGGGACCAGACCCACGAACCGGAGGTACTCCCGGAGGAAAGGGTGCAGGGGGAAGCAGAGCCCCATGGACACCGAGAGAACATGCACCGCTATACAGCCCTCGGGAGCCCGGGAGAGGACGTCATCTGGACCCGGTGTCACTACGGTGGCCGAGGGGCCCACGTGGAGCTGAGTGACGTAGATGTCCGCCGCATCAACCTCTGACCTTATTTCAAAGGCGGCGGTGTTCAAGTAGGAGTACCCCTCATGCATATCAAGGGGCTTCCCTTGATCTGCAACGCTGCCCTTCTTCTTGGGAGCAGCTGCCTTGGCCTTCTTCTTTCCGGGGGCCACCCGGATGGGAACCGCGTTCAGCGGCCGAGAGGTACTGGCCTCACCAGCACCCCGAGGGGGAAGGACAGCCACAGTCACCCTCGTCCTCTCCTTTGCTTCCTCCTCCTCTGCAACCTGCATGGCGAGGGCCAGCTCTTCGTCTTCCACCTCCTGCTCGAAGCCCTCGGCTTCAACTTCAGCCAACAGCTCCTTCTGCACCTCTACTGCCATCGCAACGTCCTCCTGGGCCGAGGACTGTTCATTTGAGGACTCCACATCCGAGAGGACTTCATCCTCCATCGAGGGCGCCCCCGAGATGTCTTGAGAATCACTCTGTGAAGACATTGCTGTACTAGGTCGAGGGTTCGGGGACGCTAAGTACTCTAAGCTACCTACCTAGTCTAAGGCCACAAATACAGCTAGCTAAGAGGTGAAGTGCGAATGGAGAACTGACCTTAGAATCTGATCGAGGGCTGCTGTTTCTCTCTCTAGAAAAATTGGCAGAGCTTCGCTATAAGAATTTCGCACAAGGGGAAGGAAGCCTGGCCATGGGTATTTATAGGCACTGGAATCCGGGCTTGGGCCTGGAAACCGGGCCTCCGGATGGACTGTCATCATTACACGCCGTGTCTTCGCCCAACCGGTGACGCCGCCCGCGGACAACCAACCATCACGCGCCACGTGTACCCCCCCCCAACGGCTATATCCTGACGTTATATATTCTAACGGCTATATTTCCAACGACTATATTCTGGGAGCCCCCGGATTTTATTACTTCACTCCACTTCATCAAGGAGGGCCCCCGGGTACAATTACCCAGAGACGCCCCCGGGTTGTGCCCCACACAGTACATAACAGACGCCTTCGGGATCACTCCTTCAGAAGCCCAATGCTTCATATCAGGCCACCCCTCGGGGATTCCCCCCAACACGGTAAGGGCCGGGTAGTCCCCGGGAAGTATGCCTCATTGACAGATAGCCTACGGCACACGGGTAAGGGGAGCCCTCGGATATCCTCATCACCAACTAATCAACAAGCAGGGGACACCCCGGTAACAATTCAACTACTGCCCTCATCCATCACGCCCTCGATCCCCAGATTGAGGGGCCCCCCCTCGGCACCTCCCAGGACATCAACAGCAAGCCTTCGGCTAATCAACACATGAGCCCTCAGAACAAGGAGAGCCTTCGGCATTACCGTTATTCTCCGTTTTGAACCAAGGTTTAACGTTCTCGATTCATCGTTGGGGGAATTCGGTGCACTCTTTTTCCCTCATTAGGATTTTTTCCCACGGGATTTTTCCTAATGAGGTTTTTAACGAGGCATCCCCCCAAAATGAAACGAAAAGCGTCAGCCTTCGGCCCCATGCTACAACGGACTAAACTCTACTCCTTTTCACCACTTTACAAGTGCCTCAAGGAGTGGGGGACTGGAGAACCCCTTCGGGAAAATCATTAAATTACAAAAATGGTGAAAAATTCCAACAGGCGGCAAAGCAATCCCTCAAGTCCCGACATGTGGGTAACTGAGGGACTGCCTTCGACAGGGACATGCAAGCAACAACTCCTCACCAACCTCAGAGATTACAACGGAACAACGGCAGGGGACAAACACAAATTACTCCTTTTCCCTCAAGAACCTTTCGGCAAAAGGAGTGAGGGACTCCTGATGGAGTATATGGCCCGGGAGCACCCGGCCCACAGACTCCTACTACTCCAGTAAAGGCCCAACAGGCCCAAATCACGGCGCCCGGAGTACCAAGCAGCCCACAATGCGCACCAGGGGTGCCTTCGCCCCCCTGGCCGAGGGCTCTAAACTCTCACAGAACGGGTTTCTCAAGCAAACTAAGAAACTGGGAGAAAGACGGCAGAAAACAGTAGCCCTCGGCACCTGGAGCCCTCGGCACCCAGGGGTCCCCGGCACTCACAGCCCCCGGCTAGTCCTCTGCAGCCGAGGGCACCTCTCCCGACATAATATCCGCGCCACATGCGTACAGATCACCGTACCCTGTACAACGTCCCATCCAACAGCCGCATTAAATGCGGCCACATGCGGCTGCCAGCGCCAACCAGTTGAGGTGACCTCTCGGCCAATGGACGCTTGACACGTGTCCCTGTCCGACATTTATTGCTACTATAAATAGCACCCCTTTTTCCCATTTGTAACCAACTGATAAACGCTGCATACTTTCTAAATACACTTTCTCTCTCTATATTTACTTGCTCTGACTTCTCTCTTGTGATTCCCCGTAATAACCCCTCGGATAAGCTACCCCCCGGGTACACTGTCCATCATACGCATTCTAGAAGAAAGCATATAGATACCCCTAACCAGACGAAGCTAGCTGGCAAACCAACGTAACCCCCCCACATCGAGAGAGACAAACCATCCCGGAGCACTAGTGTCTGAGAAAGAACCGTCATAGAACAAAATCAGAACTACGAGAAGGTAAGAACAATCAAATTGGATCATACATCTACTAAAAATTTCTAAACGTTGATGTCATCATCAGATAGTTTGGATCACTGCATCACATTGACCCGATTAAGCCTTCAGGGTTCTGCGTGGGATACACAAAAATGCGATTGATTTGCATATAGGTGTGGTCTTCGTCCCTCAATTGAATGAGGCGACTAAGCCTTAGGGTTCTTCATTCGTACATCCCTGTATCGTTCCAATTTTATTGGATGTCCCCGTAGGATTCTTCATTCGTACTTGGTAGTTTATATTAATGCTAATATATATTTATAGTTGATTGCATTTAAAATAATTATTTTGTATACAAAATGTAGAGATGTAAAAAGTTTAATTTGCATTTGGTTTGGTTATTTGATATAAATTGTTAGTCTCTTTTTAAAACTTTTTCATTAAAGATGTGTATTTTGATTTCATCGATTGAACTGTGTAAATAATCAAAATAAGTAAGTTTGAAGTTATATTTCTCAATTAATTATCTAAAGTTACTATAAAAGATCAATTTAACTATGTTACATCATGTTTTGTCTTTATTTTAAAATATGCTTTTCCATAATTCAGCATACTCAAACAATTTAAACTCTTCAACCAAATGTTTATCAAATTTGATAGATTCTGACGATTTAGTTGATTTAAGTGTTTTGAACAGATTCTATACGTCAAAAGTTTTAAGATGTTATTAATTGGATTAGTTTCAGTTTCATACTACATTAGACTTAAATAAACTAGACCAAACTAGATTAGATCATATCAAACTTCGACAATTTTAAAATACACATAAAACCAACATTTATCAAACCAGATGAGACTTAAATAAGTCAGACTAAATAAGAGCATACCAAATCATTCCAAAAGATGTTTTTTTGGACAGTTATCAGTCTCAGAGCCGATCAGACTTAAACAGACCAGACCAGATCATACTTAAACAGATCAGACCAGATCAGATTTAAACAGACCAGATTTGAACAGACTTAAATAAACCAGACCAGACCATACCTTCATAGTTATAAAATACACTTAAAACCAGACATTTACAAAACCAGATCAAATCAGACTAGTTCAAATCATATTGGGAAAAGAGCCAAAAATGACACTAATGTTTTTAATGAAGTTCAGATTGGACACTAATGTTTCAAGTAGACCAAATAAACACAAATTTAAACTTTTTGGATCCTTTTCGGCCACCCATTCACTGCTCCGTTATTTGGTTTCTTCTCCGTTATCACATCTCTACGGTTACGAACTCCCAATACATTCTATCCCAAGTATTGAACAATCCTAATGGATTATTACCTGCTTATTGAAGTGTCCAGACATAAGAAGAGGAAACCATAGTAATCGGGGATATTGTTTGACCATCGATCTCATCTGAGGTACATTAATAAAAGTGACAAGGGTTAGAGCTATTTCAGTCTTTCACAGCCAATAGCTCTGCGCTTGGTTTCCCATTCTCAAAGAAGTTCCTGAAGAACGACGGAAAGCTTAGCGCGTGAAGATGAAGTGCCATCTATTAGACTATTACAGCACTCTGATTTCTTTTTAAGGACACAAGTTTATCTCTCGGACATCGTTAATCGGCAATTTCTCCATATGATTTGAAATGAAGTTTCTTATTTTTCTTTTCCGCCTAAATTGAAATGAAATGTGTCTTTTAATTTTTGTAATGCAAGCACAACTAATAAAGTGTCCACTGATCCAAGTTCTAAACACCTATCGTAGACGGGATCGTTTCCTTCTCTACCCACCTCAACTTAGTTTTCATACATTGAGGGGCTGTGTTGTTTAATCAGATGGAATGGGTGTTAACGACTGGAAGGTTCGTTTAACGGAGCTATTAAAGAGTGGCTAAAAATGTACCAAAAAGTTAAAATTTGTGTTCATTTGGTCCATTTTAAACTTTAGTGTTTAATCTGAACTTCAATAAAAATCTTAGTGTCATTTTTGACCCTTTTCCCAATCATATTAAACATAATAAATCTCAAATAGAGAGACCAAATAAGTAAATTTCGGATAGAAAACATCCTAAAAGTCATGTGACAAATTTGTATGCTAATGAAGGGAGTAAAATAAAAATGTTCCATATAGAAACGGTATGATGATCGGAAGAGGGTTTTAGCTGTGAGAAGTCACTCAAGTCAGAAAACACCGAGTGAGGAACAAGGCGAGAATGGAGGGAGTATCGAACCAGAGATTCCCGAAGATTAAAATCCGGGAAGTGAAGGACGACTACATGAAGTTTGAGCTTCGCGACACTGATGCCAGCATAGCCAACGCGCTTCGGCGCGTAATGATCGCCGAGGTTCCCACCATCGCCATCGACCTCGTTGAAATCGAGTGCAACTCCACGGTCCTCAACGACGAGTTCCTTTCCCACCGTCTCGGCCTCATTCCTCTCACCAGCGAGCGGGCAATGAGCATGCGCTTCTCGCGCGATTGTGACGCCTGCGACGGAGACGGCCAGTGCGAGTTTTGCTCAGTCGAGTTCTACCTCCGTGTGAAGTGCCTCGGTGACCAAACCCTAGACGTTACCAGCAAGGACCTTCTGAGCTCTGACCACACTGTCGTACCGGTTGATTACTCAGATTCTACTTCCCCGACTCCGGAATCTAAGTAAGTCTCTTCTCTCTCAGGAGTGCACTAATCTGTTCGATTTTCTTTCATAAATTTATATTTTATGATGATGCTAGGATCTCAATTTTAGTGTTGTTCTGAACTTTGTATTATTCTTGTACCTTGGTGCTGTGCTGTGGGTGAGAGGTACACAATTTTCTGCTTTATTAGGTTTTGTGAAGCCATGAATTGATATTCCTGAGTTCAATTAGGTCGTATTGATTGATGACTGTTTTAAGCTAGCTCAATTGTCAATGAGGGTAAAAGACCTAATTCCATTAGGGATAGTATCAGTAAGTTTTTATTTTGGAAAATTAAATGGATTCACACACAAGATAGTGGAAACAACCTTGTTGTTGCTGATAAAATTCGATGTACAGAAGCTAGCTGTAAGATAGAGAGGAAAAAGTGACTAAAATTTGAAAATTTTCATAACCAAATAGGTTTATGCGGTCTCAATGTGATTAGATTCTCAAAGCAAAACACAATTTTTGAAAAACAGGTTCTAATGGGTGATCAAGTGAGTCAGTACATTGTTAATAAATACAGGAGCTAAGAGTATAAGACTGAAGTTCATGTATGAAGGCAATGCTTTTGGGCTTTTGGCATCTTGCTACTCGATAGAAAAGAAACATATCCAGGATCTGGAGCATCTTAATATTTACCAGAACATATTGAAATGTGATGGAAGTTTAGGGTTTTAAATTTTTATATGTAAACCGAAAAATAAGTGATTTTGAAGCACTGTTTCACATTCTATTTCTATGTGAATGCACTGCAGTAGCCATAACACTGAGAGGTTAGATGAGGTAAACTACGTAAGAGTTTCAAATCTTTACAACTTCTATCAATTTATATTTCTTAAAATTAGTCACGTTTCAACTTTCAGTAAAGGTGAATCTGTTATGTTTACTCAACTCAGAAATTTCATTCATATAACGGTGACAAGAAAAATACAACTTTTTTTATCAGTAGTTTCATCCATATAAAGTTGTCAAGACTAAAGTTAAAGTAGGAGGGTAATACTCCTGCTACTAGTTCACAAAAGGATCATACTCAGGCTTGGGAGCATCTTAAATGTTTTTACAAAACAATTGGAGGTTTGGTGGACGTTTAGGGGTTTTATAGGGATTCTATATCACAGCACTAGGGGAGGATAGATAGAGTACATAAGTATTATAAAGGTTAACAAATCCTATAAATTTGTACTTGCAATTATATTGTGATGGAAGAATGTGTGTCATTAGTATTTATCATGATATATATACAGCTTATCTTAACCTCTAATCTTATGCAATGTCTCACTCTAGATAATGAAAAATCATTCTATAGTTTCTTTTAAGAGTGATAGAGCATCAAATAGAATAGCTAGAAGATGTTAGCTACCATATATAACCCCGTGGATATATTAGAACTTAGAAGTGGTAGAGCCTTTCAGCCTGCCAGCTTGTCATGAATATTTATTTCTTAATTGCTATCATATTTTAAATGGTAGGAAATATATTATGGTGAAGTAATCATCAGACGTGTAGAAATTCCCACAATATTCTGAAAAAGAAATTATCATAGGGGGATTATTATAGTTAAGCTACGACGTGGACAAGAGCTGAGGCTGAGAGCAATTGCACGGAAAGGAATTGGAAAAGATCACGCAAAGTGGTCACCTGCAGCAACTGTTACATTTATGTATGAGCCAGATATCTATATCAATGAAGACATGATGGACACTTTGACACTTGAGGAGAAAAGAAGCATTGTGGAAAGCAGCCCCACCAAAGTGTTTGACATTGACCCTGTTACCCAACAGGTTTTATATTATTAATTTTTAAATTAAATTTCATTCTTGTTTCAACTACTCGCATGGTATCTGACCGCATGAGCTTTTACATTTTTAGTTAAATTGCATTTTTTATCTTTTAATATGGCGATGTCTCTGATGTCTCAAAAAATAAAGAGGCCAAAATATCTATAAAAAATTACTGGATGCATTTTCATAATAAAATTTATAAATTATGTAACCCTACCGGAACTTGTTTACTTGAGAATTTTGGAAACAAAGCAAAAACAGAATTTTGGTAAACAGATGTACTAAAACCAGAATCATTACCAAATGAACGTTGAGGTTTAAATTTTAACGTGAACTCGCAGATTGTTGTGGTTGATGCGGAAGCATATACATATGATGAGGAGGTGCTTAAGAAAATTGCATCTATGGACAAACCTGGGCTTATAGAAATCAATGCCAGGGAAGATAGCTTCATATTCACAGTCGAATCAACAGGTGCAATCAAAGCTTCTCAGTTAGTGCTAAATGCGATCGAGGTTTTGAAGCAGAAGTTGGATGCAGTCCGCTTATCTGAGGATACAGTTGAAGCAGATGACCAATTTGGAGAGTTGGGTGCGCATCTGCGAGGCGGGTAATCACAGCCTGCCCTTGCGACCTTAACTTTTAATTTACTCCGTATTTCTTAATCAAAGGATTGGTGACCTGTGTGTTTTTTAATTCCTAGTACCCAACTTGCTTTTGTTCAAGGAATGGGAAAAGATCACGCAAAAGTTATCATTGATGGGAGGCGGGGAGGGGGTGCAGGGTGTTTGCAGCTAAAAGCTTAAAATGCTCTTAGAGGCTGTTTGCTTATTTCAATTAACTCATGTTTAGATCAAGATGACTATTTATATTAAAAATGTCTGCATTATTTACTTTGCGTGCTGCATACAGTCTGATTTAGGCCTGGTCTGGGTGAGTTCTGATCCCGGACCAGCCGGTCTTTCAAAAAAAAATGGAGGATTGGGACCTATATTTCCGGTTCCCAGCTGGTTCTGGTCCAGTCCTGGGTTTTTGTTTTCTTTTTCTAATACACTTTTAAACCCTCTCTGTTGGGAAAAATCGGTGTTTTTGTTTTTCTGAAAAATAAGAAATAAAAAATAAATTTCTGAAAGAACTGGACAAAGAACCGACACAGGTTCAGTCAAAGCATGTGCAACACACACTATCCTTAAAATGAATTCACGGCCTCCCAAGGTGCTAGGAGCGTTACAGGGTAAGTTTCCCAAGATACGATGACTAACGAACAATCGTATTGAGCACTCAATAGGTTGCTCCGGCAAACTGGAATGAAGGGTAGAACTGGGGAAGTTTTATCGGAAGTGTGGCAGAATTTTTCTTTTGAGAAGACTATCCAATGAGTATTTTTGTGTGCTCAGTGGTACTCTAGTTGTGTGAACTCTATTTCGTTAATCCACTCTAGTTGTCGTACTCTAGTAATCTTTGCATTAATTGTGCATTCAACACCACACTTATTGTGTGAAACCGCTCATTAAACACGCTTATTGTGTTGTAATGGTTTTGAATGTTTCAGGTCATTGACCATGTAATTAAACCACGTTTTAATCACATTTTTCAGTTTTTAAATGTTAGGCAACATTCAAAACTGTAGCAGTTCGAAAAAGAGATTAGAACGACCATTAACCGATGATAGTTCTACCGCAAATTTTCAATTTCTCTATCTCAATCAATGTACTTCGAGAATCAATTTCTTATTCACTCATTATCCATTTTGAGTATATCACATATCGAATTGAATCCCTTACAAAAAGACATAAAGTATGTAGACATATCGAAATCACTTTGACCCCACCCAAATCAGAAGTGGATCACACTCAAAATACCGGCCTAAAATAGTCATTTAGTGCAATTTTTAATACAACTTTCCAACATCCCCACATGAATGAAAATTGATTTTGGAGACGTGAAAAGGACACGAAGGTACGTAGACACGACTGTGTTCACCGAATGATCCCTGCATACGGAGAGGTAGATTTTATTCTTTGAACCTTCTGCTGTAAAGATATGTTTGTTTACTGGATATCTAGTGGACTCGATGTCATTGAATTATATTGCCGTTGTATAAAAATTGTCTCATCTTTACACAGGAACATTCCGCCTTTGTTCCATTATCATGGGTGTGGCCGTTTTGGTCATAGGTCACCGTCTTGGTTCTACGAGAGTTTCTAAAGAGCTGATCCTTCATAGTTCTCCTTTGAAGCGACCCTCTTCTCCCTCACATAGGTGATTCTTTCACAAGTATCCCACGTACTTTTCTAATGTTATCACGCAAATCAACATTTCAGAATCATTAAAGCAAACATTTTGCTAACCTCGTATGGGAGTCACTGTTTCAACGAGGAGTGAGTAGGAGTTCTAGACTCCCACGGTGACCATCCTTCGTTCTATAATTTAGTTGTCCCTTTTGAACCTTGGGCCAACTAGGTTAGGTATCCACTATAGAACTTCTCAATCCAAAGGCTTTAGTCCCATTCCTCGTGACAACTTCTCAAACAGTTCTCTATCCAATGTCTTGATTAGTGAATCTGCTATCTTATCTTTTGACCTCACATAGTCGACCGTGATAACACCTGTTGTGAGAAGTTATTTAATGGTATTGTGTCTACCATGAACTTGTCTAGACTTACCATTATACATATTGCTTTGCACCCTTCCAATTGCCACTTGACAGTCGCATTGTATGCAAATCGGAGGGACAAGCTTTTCCCAACTTGGAATATCCTCAAGAAAATGATGTTGCCATTCAACCTCTTCAGTGGACTTATCCAAAGCTATTAGCTCAGATTCCATCATGGATCTAACTATTATCGTTTGTTTCGAGGATTTTCATGACACGACCGCACCCCCCATAGTGAAACCATATCCACTTGTAGACTTTGAGTCCTTAATGTCCGATATCCAACTATCGTCGTTATACCCTTCAAGTACAACTCAATATCTTCCATAGTGCAGTATAAGGTTTTGGGTTTCCTTAAATACCTCAAAACCCTCACTATTGCCTTCCAGTGTTCATCACCGGGGTTACTAGTAAACCTACTTAGCTTGCTAACCAGAAAGGAAATATCAGGCCTGATACAACTCATTAGATACATCAAGCTTTCAATAATCCTAGCGTAATCTACTTGAGAAATACACTCTCCACGATTTTTGGTAAGGTGTACGTTTTTATCTAATGGTGTTCTGCTTCTTGATAATCATGAGATTGACTTAGCACAAGACCGTCCAGTCCCCAGGTGATTTTAATCCCTAGGATTAAATCGGTCAGTCCAATATCCTTCATGTCAAATTTAGAATTTAACATATTTTTGGTATAATTAATCAATAGATTATTACAACCAACGATGAGTATATCATCCACGTATAAACACAAATGACATAGCCATATATTGTGCTCTTCACATAGACACATTTGTCACTTTCATTTAATTTAAATCCATTGGTCAACATCACATGATCGAGCTTTTCGTGCCACTGTTTAGTGGCTTGTTCCAAAACATACAATGATTTAACCAATTTACACACTTTCTTTTTTTGTTCAGGAACAATAAATCCTCTAGGTTGTTCCATATAGATTTCTTCGTCTATCTTGCCATACAGAAAAGCGGTTTTACATCCATTTGATAACTTCCAAATTTTGCAATGCATCGATGACTATTATCATCCTAATGAAATTTATTCTCGTCACGGGAGAATACGTATCAAAGTAATCGTGACCTTCACGTTGCTTGTATTCTTTGATTAAAAGTCTAGTCTTGTACTTGTCAATGGAACCGCCAACTTTCATTTTCCTTTTATAAATCCACTTGTAACCCAAATGTTTACGTCCGAGAGGAAGATCAACCAATTCCCACGTGTGATTTTGTAGGATATAATCCACCTCATATTTGATGGTTTCTTTCCACATAAGACCTTCGGTAGACGTCACGGCTTCCGTGTATGTCCGTGGTTCATTTTCTACCAAACATATTAGAAAATCCGGTTCATTTTCTACCATATGTGTTAGAATGTTTGAACCAAATTCTACCAAGTAGGTAAGAAAATCAAGACCGAAGAATTTTCCAACTCTAGCACGTTTGCTATGTCTGGGCTCAGGTTCTTCTTCAAACATTACTTGTATTATCCATAACCACGTCAATCGTTCGTTTTGACGTACTTGGTTTTTCGTTGGACCTACATGGAAATACATTATCAAAGAATGATGCATTCCTTGATTCAATTATTGTGTTTTTATGTATATCCGGATTATTCGAATCGAACACTAAAAATCGATATGCACTACTATTGTGTGCATAACCAATAAAAATACAATCAACCATTTTTGGACCTATTTTTATTTTCTTAGGTGTTGGTACAAACACTTTTGCAAGACACCCCCACACTTTTAAATATTAGTAAAAAGGTTTTCTACCTTTCCACAACTCGTAAGGAGTTTTATCATATTTTTTCAGGGGAACCTTATTTAAAAGCTAGTTGCTTGTAAAGATTGCTTTGCCGCACATATTTTTTTGCAAGCCCGAACTTACTAGTATCACATTCATCATATCTTTCAATGTGCGATTGTTTTGTTCGGCAACATCGGTTGATTGAGGTGAATAGGATGCGGTAGGTTTATGTACTGTACCCACGCTCGCGTAAAAGTCACCAATTGGTGATTCATACTCACCACCTCGATCACTTCTAACCGTTTTAATCTGTCTATTAAGTTGGTTTTCCACTTCATTCTTATAAATAATAAATTTATCAATTGCTTCATGTTTATTTTTCAACCGATAAACATAGCTATAATGAGTACTATCATCGATAAAAGTAATAAAATATTTATAATTTCCACGTGTTTGTATTGATTTAAAATCAGAAACGTAATTAATTCAAGTGGTTCCATTTTTTTCAATCGATTTGAGAGAGATTTTCGTTAGTTTTGGTGACACACCCCAGACCGCATCTAAGCGCGTTTACAACCGTCGTGTGATCAAGTGACGTCACTTGCAAGTCAATCTCACTTAATCACACAAGGCGCTCATGATTGAACATCGTTCATACCATACTCAATAAGTAAACACACATAAAAACATCACATCATAGATTGAATGAATAACGGAAATATTCAATGGTCAATCATAGGCCACATATGGCATAACGTAGGCTCGTAGGCCCAAAACTAAGTAATCATTTCTAAAGTATTCCATGAGCATAGTTTACAATTTGAAATAGTAAAGGAAGCACGTACCACGTCTTCCTCTAGATTATTTCCACCCATGCAAAGGTGTATACAACAAGCTCTAGCTTCAACCTGAAATAGTGCCCCCGAAGAGGTCAGTACGCGAATACCGAGCGAATAGCAAGCTAAATGTAGAATAACTAACGTTTCAAGTATAAGACCCAAACACAGGGTGATACATACACTTATACTCATTTTCTCCAAGTTATAAAATACATATCGGTACTTATATACACTTGGAAATACCCGACCCGTAGGTCATTGTTTATTTGGGAAAAATAGTAGTAGTCAATGTCCTTGACTTAAAAATCCCACCCTCTCATAGACATATGAGTGTATAGGACTCCTCCTGGTCCAAATCAAATATCATGAGGACATCGCCCGGTCCTAAACTACTAAAATGTAATCTATGAGTTTTGAGGATACACGCCCGATCCTTGGGTACTCCACCCGTTATAACCGAGTTTTGAGGAATACACGCCTAATCCCTGGGTACTCCACCCTACATAACCGAGTTTTGAGGATACACGCTAGGTCTCAGGGTACTCCACCCGACCTATGATCTACCACATATCATACTAGATAGGGTCTATATCATAATCAATAATCAAGACTAAATCAAGTATTACGGCCTAAGCAAAATC